CCTTATTACTCCTTGGCTTCATATGTGTGGCAGGTAAAATTTCATAATAAATTAACTCTGGTGTTCAGAAGAAAAAGACGTGTCCAGAAATCTTACAAAAACTATAAATAAAATATAAATACATAAATCATAGTAATTTTTTTTTTTTTTAAATCAACTTCCATCCACGGCAATGTTACTCTCGCTCAGCACAACTAAAATCTCACCCACTCTTTTCCTTGCGTTTTTTTTTTTTTTTTTTTTTTCTCCCCGCCACAGTCATACGTGGCTGACACAAATCGTGGGGCTCGATGGCAATGTCTGAAAGGAAAAAAAGCCCCACGCTCAATCGCTCAATCTCAGCAAAGAGACAAAGAACCGAATCACGTGTATTGATAGTGACATAAGTAACTAAAGTATAATTGCAATGAAAATGTCTTACCGATTTAAAAAAAACAACAGATAGTACGGTTGTAATTTAACTTTCTAACTGAAACCATCCTACCATATACATATATATAATGATTGATTGCCCAGGTTAACATATATGACGTCAAAGTAGATTACTTTATTGTTTTCCAGAAATGGAATCACAATGGAAAAAAATAGAGTCACATTACAAATTAATATAATTTGATACAAGTGGCGTTCAGGTAATCGAGGAAAAATATAATAGGTTGTGAATAACATTATTTATTTAGATATTAGCGCAACTTTTGCCTATTGATCTATCCATACTCAAACCTAGACTTACACAAGCACATACATGCATCCACACAAACACACATACACTCATACATACATACAAATACACATACCAAAATACATACATATAGACACAGATACATAAATAAATGCATACATACATACATGCATACATACATACATACATCATACATACATACATTACATGCATGCCTACATGCATACATACATCCGTTCATACACACATATATATATATATATACACACACATATATACATTATACATACATGCATACGTCACACATACATACATACAGATGTATGTACGTCATACATACATACATACATAAATACATACATACATACATACATACATACATACATACATGCATGCATACATACATACATACATACATACGTACGTTCATACATACATGCATGCATACTTACTTACACGATGTATATCCATCCGTCTATCGATTTATCGTTCTCTCGATCCCTCCACCCGCCCTTCCTCCTGCCCCTCGGTTGCACCTTCCCTGTCTGTATTTTAATGCATCTAAATGTTTCCCTTGGGCGCCGTGCTGCGTGTCGTTATAGGATAGTATTAAAATAATGTTCCTTTGTCTTAGATTGTTTGCAGCATCACTTTTCTCAAACGTTCCCTTTCTTCAAGATATTAATTAAGTCATCAATTGTGTTTAGCGTTGACCAGATAACAATGCGTTTGTAATTTAAATGCAATTCTCCGGGATGTCCTGGGGGAAAATGTAAACCTTGTCTTTCAAAATATGACACATATCTTTGAAACAAACGATATAGGTCAACAAAACACAATGCTACCATAAAAAGGGCATTTTCTATTTCACTACTCAATACATAACTTATAGAAGATACAAGACGCTTTTTTCATATTTGAAGTGTATCTCTACTCAGGGATATCAGTTTCGTATAATGTTTAACTAATCTATTTGAAATAGACATGACTTAGCTTGACCATAACCGAGCAGTTTAATAGGTTTGGATTCTTATCAAAACCCAGCTGGTGATTTTCTATTAATACAATTTTTTGAAAAATAGAAATGAGTTTGTTAATGAATATATCAGTATATTAAATTCCGTTTGCATAAAATATGTCTGAAATGGTAGATGGAGTTTTTTTTTGGTGTAAATTTAAAATTACGTTTTCACAAATTTTAGAGAGCAAAAAATAATTTTAGGGGCATGAAAAGCTATAGTGTTGGACCAATATTTAAAAAACACATGTCATTTAAAGTAGTTTAAAGCATGGGCGTACAAATTAGCCATTAATGAACTCCTTTTTGGCAATAATAATTAAATTAGTTATCACTTAAAGTTGGTAATTTTAGGTCATGTTTAGATGAAAGAAATGTATTTTTGGGCCTCGAAAATGTGTAGGGTTAGCATATAAAATATTTCAGAAAAATCATTCTAAAATTTTTTAGTGATGTTAGAAAAGTAAACATCATAACGTAAATACTTCTTTTCTAAAAAAAAGGAATTATGATGAAAATTTGCAATAAGATGTAGAAATTTTTCACAACATGCTTGTTTTCATTATCTCGATACAATTGGGTAAAATGATATAATATTAAAATGTCAAAGAGTAGATAATATATATACAGATCGATAGATAGATAGAGAGATAAATAGATAGACAGATAGATAGATAGATAGATAGATAGATAGATAGATAGATAGATAGATAGATAGATAGATAGATAGATAGATAGATAGATAGATAGATAGATAGATAGATAGATAGATAGA